CCTGGGCAACTTGGCGAGACCTCATTTCTACAATAAATAAAAAAAGTACCCAGGTATGGTGGCGTGTACCTGTAGTTCAGCTACTTGGAAGACTGAGGTGGAAGGATCACCTGAGCCCAGCAGGTCGAGGCTATGGTGGCCATGGGAGTGCCACTGCACTCCAGCTTGGGCAACAGAGTGAGACTCCAACTCAAAAATAACCATCGTTATCATCATCATCATCATCATCATCATCCTACTTGCAGAGAATTAGATATAGATGTAAACGTGACCAACATTTAAAGTTATTATAGGTTCTTTGGGGGGGTGAGTATGTATGTGTGCGTGTGAGCACATGAGAGAGAGAGAGACAGAGAAAGAGACAGACACTCATTCTGTTGCTCAGGCTGGAGTGCATACAGTGGCACGATCATGGCTCACTGTATGCTTGACCTTCTGGGCTTAAGTGATCCATTCGCCTCAGCCTCACCAGTAGCTGGGACTACACAGGTACACCACCATGTCTGGCTAATTTTCTGATTTTTTATTTTTTTTTTTAGGAACAAAATCTCACTATTTTGCCCAGGCTGGTCTCAAACTCCTGGATTTAAGTGATCTTTCTGTCTCAGCCTCCCAAAGTGCTGGGATTACAGATGTAAGCCACCATGCCCGGCCAACAGAGATAATAATAGTTTAAAATAATGTTAGTGCACATTTAAAAAATTATACTACCAAGGATTAATCAGAAATTAACCATGAGCTAAAACTCATTTTGGCATCCATACAGAAGATTCACAAAGCATTTAGATATACAAAAGCTTTAGTTACAGATTAGAAGCTTAGAGAAACTGACATAAATTCTAATAAAAGAAAATGGTGCATACCTATCAACTAGGAAAATCTACAAGTAGCAACTACATGGAGATTTATGTCATATTTTAATTTTTATTGAAGATGGGCACAGCTTATTATAGTATTCTCCCAATACTCCTGGTGTACTTTTTAAAAAAGTATTTTCTTTTCTACTTTTATCTCTTTCCAACAGAGGGTAATATGAAGACTGGATGCCAAGGGTCAAAAAAAATAAATATTTTTAATTTATTTTAAATGCTGTTGGGAATAAGGTGTATTTTGTGGGATTCAGAGTGAGGGACAGGAGACAAAGTGAAGTCCATATATGTGTCAACTACCTGAGTGTTCCAGGCACTATACTACTTGTTTTACATATTGCACTAAATCCTTACAAAACTCCGAGAAGCAGGCATTGCAGTCTTATTTTACAGACAAGGTGTCAGGTTTGATGACATTGCATATTTATGGTCACATAATCAGAAATAAATCACTCTACTATGTTAGAACAAAACCAATGTTGCCCATTGTACTCCTTCCCTGTTTCCACCATCTTCCCTACATGTTTAAAATTAGGTTACACTAGGCTTGAGTCAATGTTTCCAGTTTCTCCTCCTTCACAAAAGGAGGAGACATGACCATTCATTAGGTCATGTTTACTAGTGGATATTAACCAAGACAACTGCTTGAAATAGTATTTTTTTGCTCTCTGGACATGTCTATACCTAACAAAATTTGAACTTAAGCTTTTTGTCTTGCAAGTAGACTAGGTCAGAAACTTTCTGAGAAGGCCATCTGTCTCTCGAACTCTACAAAAGAACGGAACTTAGATATGGAAGCATAAGAAATTAGCGCTCAAACATGCTTCTCTTCATAAAAAGATCAGGAAGCTGCAAGGCCTGGCCTAATGGTAATCTCATATGCTTTTCATGTTAGTAGAAAATGAGTTGCTACTCTGCATAAAGTATGTCAAAGAGTCATCAATATAAGCTGGGCATCTCTTCAAATAATAAGATTTTTAAAAATATGATAAGAACAACGAAGGGGAAGTTAAAACTGAAAAGACAGACATTCATATCTGGAGAAGCAAACCAACTCTAGAATGTGCATGGGAACTAGCCAAATTTAGAGGAATAGTCAGCACATAGTCCCTCCCCGCCCCCTCATACCCTATTTAATACCCTGTACTCTCTATAGGGCAACTCTGCTGATTTCAAATGGGACACCGTATTAGAACCCCATCACATTCCACATTCCACAGTCTAGAACCTTTGTTGAAAATCTTGTTTAGTGATGTTTGCCAAATTCTACCATAGGGGGCAGCATAGCACATGGAAAGAAAGGTTTTTTTGAAATTAGGCAAATCAGGATTAAAATCTCATTACTTATTGTGTGCTGAGGAGTGAATTATTTGGTCTTTCTGTAACTTCTGTATACCAATTTGTCATAGGACCTTGTAAGCAGTATATACTTAATAAACATAAATATTCTTGACTACCTCTATCCTGACGTTAAACATTAGGACAGTATGGAATTTATAACATAGACTGTTTGCTATAGGCTCCCCCCCAAAAAACACACTTTCAGTGATTGAGGGGAAAAATTGTCCTCAGAGTTTTGACTGTTTTCAAAATGCTTTAAAAACATAAACCGATGCAAGGAAGAACCAAACACTGTTTCTCATTAATATAATATTTGTTTATTCAGTGTATTCAGGACTGACAAATAAATAAGTCTAACTGTCCACAGGTTTGTTTAGCAGACCAACAAAAAATAAAATTTGAAATGTATCCTGAGTAAAATTTGTAGAAGACTAATTCTATATTAACATTTAAAAATGGGATTTTAGATTCTTATACCTATACTCTTCTTAAAAGTCAAAGTTTAAGAAGCCTTGAATGAAAATACACTGTTTAGGGTAAATGTCTTGTTTATAATGAGCAAGAATTTTAAGTACTTCGAAAATATAGTACTTGAACTAATGAGAGCTTCTCCATATTTACCATGTTAAATAAGATTTATACGAATGGGTGACTGACATTTTCTTTTTAAGTAACACAGTACAAGCTGACTTTTAAAAAATGCTGTTGAAAAATAAAGTACTCTAGAAATCCTGAAGAAGTTTCAGAAAAAGACAAAGGAAAAAATATTTATGTCAATTTCAGGCTAAAATTCTACGTTGTTGAAGGGCATCACTGCCTTGGCAATCAAACAGCTTTATATTCTTCATGCCATACTTATGAAGATAAATAACCTCTTGATAAACAATATACCAAAACTATACACACATATACATAAATCCATATACACATCTATCCCTATGCATATACACATAAATTCATACATACATCTATCCCTGATGTTGTTAGAACCCAGTACACTCCTGCTGTATGATATATACAGTTGTTATTCATGATTAAGAATCGCTAGGAAAAACTAACTTAAACTCAGAATACTGTTTTTAGAAAGGTATATACCTAAAGGTTCTGTTAACAATTTCATCTTCAAGATAGAGAAAAGATAAAGCATCTATCAAACCTGTGTATTGTAAGTTTTCCTACAAAATATTACGATGACTATTCCTTTTGGAAAAAGATATGTTTTGTCTAGCTAGCTTTTTTGTTTTTTAATTTAAAGGGAAGTAGAAATCAGCAACAGCTTTGCACTGTTCACAAGGCTTGGTTTTCATTGCATCTCTTTCCTAAAAAAGATATTGTAATTGGACCTTAATTATTAAACCCCTATTCCTCTAACTGAACCCTCAGAAAAAAGAGGTGACATATAAACTCCCTCTTTTGATACAGTAAACTCGAGGGAGCAAGATCATGGCTGGTGTACAGAAGTTGAGGGAAGGGCATTATAAAAGATCTGAGCTTTTCTAACAAAGCAGGACTGTGGTTGTTAGTGGTATAGCTATTAGGCTGAGATCCAAGGCTACTGCTACTGCTTCAGCATCTTGACACAGGGATGGTAATGGGTGAAAAGCACTACTGGGATGCCATTTCCTTCTTAGATCACACAAGCTAAATAAAATCTGACCTGCAGATAAGCTAAGGAAATGAAAGATGAACACATTTTAGAAAGAGTTTAAGTTTTAGAAGCTGAAGTAAAAATGACTTAGCAATTCAAATATTAATACAAGTGTGTAAGAAAGATATTTACTTCTTGGTCAAGTTAGGTTAAAAGGAGATGATGTTAAACCTGTTTGTATATTGCTTATCAGCTAAAACAATGATTCACTGTAAAATTTTTAAAAATAAGCAAATACGAGTAGGAGGATGGATGAACTACCTCAGACATTATTTTAATGTCTGTAAAACAAGTAAGCTATTAGTCAAGTTAAAATATCATACAGTTTAAGTTATAAATCTGCTCTACATGGATAGTCATGATTTCTAGCCAATTTTCAAGTGATAAATGAAGAACCAGAACTAATCTGAAGCAACTTCCAATAACATGCCTTGGAGCAACACTTCTGAATACAAAACCCACACCATTGACTATAGTTTGTAAATTAAAAGTTACTTCAGCTGGGTGCAGTGACTCATTATCTGTAATCCCAGCACTTTGGGAGGCCAAAGCAGGATTGCTTGAGCCGAGGAGTTTGAGACCAATCTGGGCAACATAGCGAGACCTTGTCTCCACAAAAAAATTTTTAAAAAATTAGCCCAGTGTGGTGGCACATGCCTATAGTCCTAGCTACTCGGGAGGTTGAGGCAGAAGGATCACCTGAGTCCAGGAGGTTGAAGCTGTGGTAAGTAAGCCATGATAAAGTCACTGCACTCCAGCCTGGATGACAGAGTGAAACCTCAACTTAAAAAAAAAAATCTTCATTATTTAATTTACACAAATCATATTTCACCCCAATCCTCTACACGCCACACAACATACTAATTCCTGCCCTGTGGACAAGATTTAGAAGAAAATTTGATGTGAATGATTTTTGTTGGTAACAAAATCAACTACCTTCCCTCCATTTATAATAAAATTGTCCCATTATCAGTATTTCTATTTGTAATACTTTGAAATACCTTCTGTACAATAGAAAGTTTTTATCATTATATACCTTAAGATTAATTTTTAATAAATATAAAGACTGTGAGGAAAGTTTCGTTACAATTAAAATAGGTATGCAAAGTTTCTCAGGTTAACAGAAGATTGAATATACTCACTTTTGATGTCTTTGTATAGAATGGGGAGGAGAGTTGGTGAATGGGTAGGTCCACCATACTACTGGAGTTTGTGACACTGTTACTATGAGTATGTTCATCTTCTCTGCTACTGTCATCAGACTGATCAAAATCATCACTCTCCTGGTCCATTTCCTCCTCCTCTTCATCCTCTTCATCTTGTTCACCAGCATGTTCTTCATCTTCCTCTTGCTCTTCATGGTTTCCCGAGGAGTCCTCATCTACTGAAATAAAACGATTATTGTTTTCTTCCAGTTGTCCTTGCTGGGAATCATTTTGGTCTCCTGGTCTAGGTTCAACTCCAACAACTTCACCATTCCTTGCAGTGTGCTCCTCCTCTTGCTGTCTTAGTTGTTGCTGCTGCTGTTCCTCCTCTACCACTCGATTCATCTGTTCCTCATCTACCTGGCTTGAGGAAGGGTTACCTCTCAGAGAGCCTCCAGTTCGTCGTCTTTTGCTGCCCACAGAGAGCAGTTCCTGATTCATTTCCAAAAGCCAGCTTGCTACTTCTTGGACCTTGGCTAGACTATCAGAAGATGCAAAGGTTTTCACATTCTGCAGAGAAAAACGAGGGAAAAACAACATTTGTACAATCTATATTATCTTTACTTTCATGTTATATGTCTACATTTTAAATATCATCAAAAACTGTGAAAAGTATGTAATGCTACCAAGGCATTAAGATGTTCTCTAGAAATTAATATAGAGTATTTAACTTTAAAAAGACTTTATAAAGAAATACACACATATATCATATAGGAATAACTTTGTTTTAATCTCCTTTTAATAATGCTCAGCAATAAAATTTATAGTTTTAGTTCCTTTGACCAATAACATACAATTTAACCTATAAAACAATTTAAAATATTTAGATAAGCATTTCATGATTAACTAGCTCCAGAAAAAAACATAAAATTTTAAGTATGTAGTTCATAAACTATATCTTGTATAAAATTTCCACAAAATGTTAAGAAATGTATCACAAAAAAACTATTCAGTGATTGGTTAAGTTTAGGAAATGCTGAGGTAAATCATGTTAAAAGGTTCGTTTTACTCTGAAAATTTCCCAAACTTCTATGCTTATAGAACCTTGACTTCAGACCCAGTTTTCTAATGTAACAAGTATAATCATTATGATTTTCATTTTTTACAATAAATATAAATTGACTAGACAGCAAAAAAAAAAAAAGACCCAAACAACAACAACAACAAAACTTATTTTAAAAAAAGTATGTAAGTTCATACCCTCTGACCCAGTAACTCCACTTCTGGCAATCTATACTAAGGAAGTAATCCTAAAACAAAAAAAAATTATACAGAAGACATTCACTGCAGTTTATCCATAAAAACAAAAAATAAAGATAAAAATAAACATAAATAAAAATCAAAACCCAAATGTTCAAGATAAAGAAACTCATGGCATGAGTGCAGCCCATAAACATGATGCTCATTAAAAAGTCTGTAAAAACATAGATGTTTATATTATATTATGTTACAAAAAATGCAGGAAATTATAATGATCACAATATGATGTTTAAACTATATAAAGGCTAGAAGACAATATTTCAAAATAAACTGTATTCTAGACACAGGTAACACAGATACTTTAAATTTATTTCTTTTTACCATGCTCAAATTTCATACATCAAGCATATTTACTTTTTTTTTTTTTTTACCAAATTTTATCTGCTATAGCATCTTTTAGTAATGTTCATTCTTAAATTGTATACTTTACTGGCATCTACATGTACGTGTTTGAACTAACATCAACACGTGCATTTAAAAAAATTAAGCACACATTGATTTAAAATGTAAAACCACCAACTAGGAATAGTTAATAAATGAAGTACTGTCAATTTTAATCTTTTTAAGAAAAAACTTCCTGCATGACTTAGAACATTGTATCACAAACATGAACTAACTGACTCCTATATCCTACAATTTGATATAAAATTCAAGGATGGTCTTTTATTTTTTCTTACCAGTAGGAGTACAAGATGCCACGATTTATCAAATATGTGTTTTTACCAATAACCAATGAGACTAAACTTGAGTTCAGTAAAATAAAATCTGACGGCTAATATACTGACATCAAATTGCATGATTTTCTTGGCAATTGGACATGATGAGAATATAAACGATTCAAGGTCAGGAGTAATACTAATAAAGAAAATACACAGAATGTTTAAATTGAAAATATTCCTCACTTAAAGGGCAAGGCAATCAAGGCTCAAAGAGATTCAGTAAACTTCTCAAGATTGCTGGCTTTCAAGCAAAGCAGGGACAAGAATTTGATACCCAACTGAGCATTCATTCTTTCATGTACCTTAGTCTAAGGTAACTACATGATAAAATACTGAAAGAATATTATTCTCTAACACTGAAACTGTCTTCTTTTCCAAAATGAATTATCACTACAGTGCTCAAAGATTATCACTGTATAAAAAATATTTACTGAGCACTCACTAGGTTTCAAATAAATATTAATTTTCTGGTGGGTAACGTTTTAAAATGTTTCCTTCAAGTTAACCAATGGTATTTAATCTTTGTTTACCAGAACCTACAGTAAAATTAGATTTAACATCACAGCTCTGCATGCATGTATTTAAACATACCTGAAACACTGGCTTCAGAGAAAGAGAATTATAAAACATTTCCAATACCTAAAGTCTCCATAGATCACTACCCCTAATTAAATGCAGTTGATTCATGTTATTTACAGTTAATTGTGCTCTATAAAGTTGCAACCACTGAAGCCAATACTGAACTACTGCTCCTAGGGAAAATACAGGTTTTGCAAGCCTTTGGTCACAACATTTTCACCAACTGATCAATACATTACCTTTTTTTATGTGTGCTTCTGTTTAAAGACACCTTATTTAATATAGATTATGGATTCATTAACACTGAACTCACAGTCAACAGCATTATCATTCACGCCTGAATGAAGCATATCTAACATACACTAGTTTCTGTAACCTTCTTGCGCTTACAAACATTAGACAGCGCTTTAGTACTATGTTTGAGGGCCATTTTAAACAGCACAATCACGAATAAAAAGTACCAAAATGGGGGAAATGTTTCACTATAGACCATGAAAATGACACTTATTTACAATGTGAGACCTGAAACAAGAAAGCAGAGCATCACCTTGTTTTCACCAACTGAAAACAGCTATGTCAGGTTGCTTAAATTTCTGCCACTCTGTACATGCACATATCCACAAATGACTGTGGAAGTGCCACAAGTATTGACTTTGGGGTTACAAATAAATTTTATTGAGTAGATAAATTTGCAAATACAGAATCAGTGAATAATGAGGACAGATTATACCTACTCCACCTAAATCCTCTAGACTGAAATGCAAAATTCACACAGTATTCTGAGGTCTCAGTAAAAAAGCCACAGCTTACATATAGTTACGTTATGGATCTGCTAACCTAACAAAGGATAAATGATCAAAGAAGTAAAAGTCCTAATATAGATATTAGTCACTAAATTTTTCACATAAAACAAGAGTTTAGATAACCCAGATAAAATAAAATTGGACTCTGCATAAAGTAATTGCTGGAGAAAGAAAAGAGGAAAGTGACATTACTTTTCCTTTTGTACGTAGGGAGAGAACATTCTTCTGGCAGTGTCTTTTATGGAAGTGGGAAGTCCAGAGAGGTCTTGACCTATGAGTACTTTAAAAAGATGCCTACAACCAGCTCAATAACAGAATAAAAAAAATTAGAATAATTTTTCACCTTAGAAAAATTAAAAATAGGTCATCCAGAGAAAACAGAGCTACATGACTTTCCCCAAGTCCTAGAAAATACAGAGTAACTTTGTTAATTTAGTGGCACTTCAGACCTAATTTTGGTGTGTGCGTGCGTGCGTGCGTGTGTGTATGTGCGTACGTGTGTGTAAAACTAGTTTCTCATGAACTTTGCTTTTCAAAAAGACCTTTGATAATTCAAAACCATCTGAAATGTTTAATTTAGGATGCTTAAAGAAATAAAAGTGGGCATAAATACACGTTAAACAAATGCTCTGAGATTCTGTCTTAGACTGAATTAGAGTGGTGAGCTTCAAGACTCCAAGGCAAAGGCTAACTCTGAAATCATAGTAGATGCTGCGAAATAGAGTTTACGCTAATAAAATAAAGGATGATTTAAGCAAATTACCAAAGCCTCCGATGACTAGTTAACATTAACACTTTCAGAAAGTAATTTAGGATTTTTACTGAATCCTAAAAGAGCCAAGACTCCTAACTTCATATTAGGAACTTTCTATACCCCAAATTAATGAGTTAATATTAACTACTATGATTAACAGTAAGAACCTGGAATATATGATAAAGTAAGTCACATCTTATTACTCTACTTCTCAAAATCCACCAAGAGCTTCCCATTTCACTCAGAATAAAAACCAATGTGTTTTATGGTTGCCTATTAGGTCCTACATCATCTACACACATTCCACCACCCTGAGCTCATGAATTTTACTACTCTTTCTCACTTTGCTACACCCTTTCTGTCCTTGTTCTTTCTTAAAGAACAAAGTGTGCTGCAACCTCAGAACCTTTGAGACGGCTATTCCTCTCCCTGAATACCCTCCCCTATACATCAGCACGGTTCTTTCAATGACTTCCTTCAGGACACTGCTCAAATGACTTCCTCTAACCATCCTACTTAAAATATCAACAGCCCTCTACACCACCTTCCTTTTTTCCCTTGCTCTGCCCCTTCTTGTTTCCACAGCACTATATGAAAGAACTATTTTAGTACCTGCTACATCCACCCATTTATTTAGGTACTATTTGCCTCCCATACTAGAATTGAACCTCTGTTAATGACAGGGATCCTCCTTTTTCCTTTTTCACCACTGTTATGTCCAGCACCCACATAAATGCCTGATTCAGTAGGCACGCAAAGCATTTGTTGCCAGATGTGGTGGCTCACACCTGTAATCCCAGCACTTTGGGAGGCAGTGGTGGAAAGATTGCTTGAGGCCAGGAGTTGAGACCAGCCTGGGTAACACACTGAGATCCTGTCACTACCAAATAATCATTTTCTTCTTCATCATCATCATCATCATCATCAAAAAATTAGCTGGGCGTGGTGGCACCTGTAGTCTCAGATACTCAGAGGGTTGAGGTGGGAAGACCCCTTTAATCCAGGAGTTTGAGGCCATGATTGTGCCACTGCTCTCCAGACTGGGTGACCAAGTGAGACCCTGACTCAAAAAAACCCCAAAAACCTTTGTTAAATCTTTTTTATAAAGGCAGACATGTACTAAGTATGCTTTCTTCACCAAAAGAGAATTTTAAGCCAGGTCACAAAAACAATGCCAATTATTTTAAATACATTTTTAAAAGTTGTACTCTGTATTGAACAAGTCATTTGTAGTACCTTTGAAACTGGTAGGGTATAAATCCTAATCTTAACATTTATTTGTAAATTATCTCCTCAGTCATAAAAATCATTTTTCCCTCTGTACTAAATTTCTTATTTTCAGCATAGGCTGTAAACACACACACACACACACACACACACACACACACAATTACATGACTAAAGAATAATACTTCAAAAACAATTATCATTTTTTAAAAGTAATTCTGACTCCATATCCCCTATACTACAGCTAAGTAATTGATAAATCACATTTGTAATTTTAAAGGTGAAATCTTTCAGGAACTGCAAAATTGGATTAAAAGATCCTTAATGATGCAGATGAACAAAACCAACACAAAATGGGCAATATTGGGGTGTGTCATCATATAAGTAAGCAATTCATAGTTTTATGGATCTAATCTGAATAATTTAAAACCACATGTCTAATCAATCACATATCTGCACTGGAAAGGACACAAAAGACTATTTCTCAAACCATATGACAATACCTACCACCTTTGATGTTATTTAGGTTATAATACATATTTTGTTTTGGCCAAATGTAATCTCTCATTCCCATTCACTCCACTACCTCTGTGATCAGGGCTTATTCCATTATAATTAAATTTTAAACTGCTTGTTAAATCTCAATGAATCTGTTGCCATTTTTGTAGCTTTTTATCCTGTTGGTCATTCCCTCCCTCTTCTTTCCAACTCTCTTGTCCCTTAAATATCCCTTGGCATCATTCCTCAATGTGGTCCCTCAGGCAGCACTGTTATTGTACTCCATTGCCAGCTTCTCCCTTGTCTGAGGCTTCTCTGAAAGCCAAGGTTTCAGCTATCACATAGAAGCTAAGACTCCCAATCAGACTCCTCTACTGTGGCTACTAGCTTTATAAAGGTATCCCACCATCACCCCAAATGCTTTATTTAAGAACCAAAACTTCTAGTCCCTCCAAAACACATACCTGAGGCCCAAATTTGTTCTTGAATCCTCCTATCATGTGTCTCTATCTCAGTGAATAGAATCATATTCTAGCCATTTACAGATGTAAGAAACTTAAAAAATGGCTCTTGTTTTTCCTTCTCTCCCTCAATAATTTAGTCCTAAACACATTAAGCGCAAGCAAGTTAGGTGTACATGTGGGAGGCAGAATGGTAATCCAAAATTGGGGAATCAATACAAGTAGAGTGAGAAGAGCCTTTCTGTATGTGAGAGACAGTGGGGGAAAACAGAGGAAGACCAGCAAGGGATGTCAAAGCTTGAATCTGAGAAGGATGAAGAGTAATCCATACAGTGGAGAAGCCCCACAGGTCAGAGGCAGAGCAGAGTCTGAATCTCTATATGGGTGGCATTGTCAAATATGGGCAGGGTAAGACAGGTGTCCACATCGGGGAAGGATGTCAAAGCCTGTATGAAATAAGGAGGGTGTGGTAGTTATAGTGGTACTCTGTTCAGACAGCCCTTCAGCCTAACCTGCCACGAGGAGCAGAGCTGCTTTACAGCCTCCAGCTATCTCACTTTGGATTTCATGGCAACCATACCTAGCCATACTACCTCTGAGCTTCTCCCAGCAAACTACTGAGCGTGGTGGGTGAAAGTACTGGAAGAGAGATTATTCCAAAACACAACTTAGGAGGGGAGTAGGGTGGGATGGGGGACTCCCTGTACATCAAATCTTGTTCTGACATCTGTTTCTCAGAGGACCCAAACTGACAGAAGATATCTGCGTAGAGGTAGTGACATAAAGAGCTCGTGAGGTAAAATTTTTAAAGTTCTGAAAGTTGCTACAAAATGGTTAACTTCATTTTTAAAAGGTCGTTTCACTCAAAAATGTTTAAAGAACAACACTTCCCACACAAAGAAATCCAGTGGCTTAGTAGAAGGAAAATTCCCAATGTGGAACCTGAGCTGAAATGGGCCCTTTTAAGAAAACAGTAGGCTAGATTCTGCTGAATACTTTGAAAACGAATAATGGCTACAGAAACTAGCCTATGTAGTACTTATTTTTCACCATCTGTAGGGTTCGTGAAGAACATGTAAAAAAAATTTTTCTCCCACTTCAAAGGACAAAATTCTTGGATTTAAAAGGAAAAAGAGCTTTTGAAAAACATCATGTTACAAAAGGAAATCTTGAAATACTCCACTCCTGCTTGAAAACTAAGAAAGATACAGTTTCAGCAAACCTCAAGTCTTAGTGGAAATCACCTGGAGAAGCTGCAGAACAAAACTGAACAGATTTTCCTTTTCTTTCAACATGAGTGGATAATTGGACATGGGATCCTTTTTTGAATCTTCTGACTGACAATTTGGCTTGAGAAAAAAGGAAAAAGAGCTACAGTTTTATCATAAATTCAAGATGAGTTTTATAGATCTTTCTCGGACAAGATCTGGATTTCTGCGAAGAAAAGAATATCCTGCTATTCGTAAGAAATCAGTGAACATTCTGCTGCAGTGTTCAACTTCTTACACATATGAACAATCTTTTTTGTATTCAACAAATAAGAATAAGCTCAAAAATAGTCTTATTACAGTTGAAAATTAAATTAGCATGGGCTGCTTATGTCATGTTTGGCCTAGAATTGATATTTGTGCAGAAAGAAACAAGGAAGAGATAAACATAATTTTTACATTAATGAGATAAATCAAAGTGGTAAAAACAATTTTATTTTTAAGATTCAAAAATAATACTTTATATGTATACATAAGCCCATAAAAAATACTATTTAAAATTACAAGTCTATATTTGAGCCTGATCATATATCACTGAATAAAGTTTTTTCAAAGTCTTGTATAAAACTGAGTCTAGGCTATATTTATATTCACATTGCTCTGGCTTACAGTTTTAGTAGCTTCACTATTCAACAATGTCAATTAATTTTCATGTTATAAATATCATTAATTAAAATCAACATATAACCTTTGTAAAATTAAATCTGATCACTCTAAATTAAGAAAAATTAAGTCTCATTTTGGTGTTAGTTAGTTAAAATTTATGTTTCTTATGACACTGTAAAATTTACAAAAAGATAAAATGTTAATGTCAAGGAAATTAAGTTAAGCTTAATTACCAGGAGGCTGTATTTTCCCCCAGAAAAGTTGACTTAAACATTAGTTTTAGTTTAAGAAATGAAAATTACTCTTTTGCATACTAATCACATTCAAATCTCATGTAAAAGAAATGAATGGTAAGGCCCACTTGAATAAAGTTATTTTTAAAGCAATAAAGATTAAAAAATAAAGAAATGGAGTTTCCTCTACCTTCTGTAATGATTTGTTTTACAGCTGCTTTCCTTTGTAAGAAAGCCACAAAAAAAGAGGTTGATGATTTCACCAATACAGGCGAACCTAGAAATACTGTAGGTGGTACTCCAGACCACCACAATAAAGTAAGTGTTGCAATAAAGCAAGTCATGCAAATTTCTTGGCTTTGCAGCACATATACACCATATTATCGTTTACTAAGTGTACAATGACATCATGTCTAAAAAAGAACCCCAATGTACATACATTAATTTAAAAAGATTTTATTGCTAAAAAATGCTAATGATCAACTAAGCCTTCAGCAAATCATAATTTTGCTGGTGGGGGATCCTGCCTCCATGTTGATGGCAGCTGAGTGATCAGGGTGGTGGATGCTAAAGGCTGGGGCTGCTACAGCAATTAAAATAAGACAACAATAAAACTTGCCCAATCAATTGACTCCTCCTTTCATGAAAGACTTCTCTATAGTATGTGATGCTGCTTGATAGCATATATCCAAAGTAGAAATTCCTTCAAGACTGGAGTCAATCCTCTCAAACCCTGTATCAATTAAGTTTATGTAAT